TCACTACACCTCCCTGTCCACAAACGTCGATGGCATGGTAGGCATGGTATATGTCTCTGTGTGTGTGTGTGGTCCTCTTCTAGCATTTTCAACCACCAGCAGATGTTAGAGTGACCACCATGGGGGTGGTAGATGGTATTTCCATTGTGAGTGTGTGTGTGTGTGTTGGAAAGAGTGAGGTCTGTGGTGGTCTTAGCTATTTTGTTTTATCTGCTAGGCTACCAGTCACAATAACCTGTACCACCCTTGTATTGGTCTCAGTCTCTCTCTCCCTCTCTCTCTCTCTCTCTCTCTCTCTCTCACACACTCTCTCACACACACACACACACACACACACAAGCTGTGTGCAGACCATTTGACACTGTGGGCAATTTTACTGTTTTACAGGCATGAATAGAAAAAAAATGTGGTTTCCTTTTCTTTTACATAAGTCCTCTCTGTCTCTCATTTGTTGTAGATGAAGGACTGACTGTGGGGAGGATGACAACATATTTCCTATACATAGAAACATACAAACACACACACACAAACACAACACATATTATTACTGACAATTTCTGCAATTTCTACTATTACTGTGACTAATAACACCAAAAACAAAGTTAAAATAACACATTTTATTTTTGCAGCAAGCAATCAAAAGGAAAATTGCACAAAATAAATATGAATTAAATAAAACAGGCAGTCAAAAAAAGGTGGAGAAATGAAGACGATATTTCCACCTTAAATGTTCTGTATTTCAGCCGTCGGGCCCAACGCCGCGCACCATCAGAAATGAACCTTTTCTTCCTTCGCTTGTTCAGGTGTAAGACCGCACTAATATCATGCTTTCTGCGCATCGCTGATTAAAGTTTCCTATTGAGAGAAGCCGGCCCATATCGGTAAACGTAGACAGTGACCCTCTTTCTCGTGACGGTCTGTTTTTTGAGCCCCCAAAGTTTTTTTATAATATTTATGAGCATGAAGTGGAGGCGTCTTCTGAGGCCGCCAGCTGGCGATCATGATGTGAATCAAGTACATTTTATATCACATAAAACGGTCACAATAACTTATAGTTGAACCAGTTGCCCTTTATTATTTCCGTATATCTGTGGGGTTAGGAGTTGATGTGTAAGTTAGTATCAAATTACATAGTTCTAGTCTAGCTTTCAGGCAAACATCTTGGAAAATATTAGAAATGTTCTCTGTCTGACATGATGGCAATAAATGCAGTCTATGTGAACAATGACAAACATAGGATGACAGCCAGCCTTATATGAATGCCCGCTTCAAATGAGAGTTAAGAAATTTTTGGTGTTGAAACTGCAACATGCATCATGCAAGTAATCCTGCCAGCCTCTGATGTACTTCTGAAGACCCTCTGCTAGCATTACTGAAAACCGAAATAGTGTGTTGCTGGTTTTAGCTGACCACATCTACAAAACATCCTGTATACGTAAAACATGAACATTAACATCTCCGTACCATTCCCTAACACCATTTTTAGGTGTTTCCTCATGTTTCAGCTCATGTCGTACAGTATGAAACTCCAGCTATACACCCTCAACTACTTATTACAATATAATTCCCTATGAATATAGTAAAGTAGATTGATTTGCAGCTCACCAAAATATCTATTCAAGATTTTTTCCAACATTTGTACACTGAGATCAAAGAGCTAAACCCCAAAAATTGCCAGCTTTAATAAGACTGCCTGCATGTGTTTCATATTACCTTCTCAATAGTGATACTTTGTTATACCTATTTAGTAAAAAATGTAGTAATATAATAACACAACTGTGTGGTAGCCTGTTATGATGTATAATGCCAGTAAAGGTAAATACTACAGAGATGGTTAGTAAGCATTGGTATTATACAGTACAGTGTTAGTATACTGCATTTAGCCTGGCGAAGATGTACTTTTCCCAGCGATGCTTAGAACAAGGTGCAGACATAGCACAACAGGGAGGCAGCTGCGACCATCTTGGATGCGATGACTCATGTTTTCCAAACAGTCCTGTGAGCAAATAAAAGCTCAACCTATTTACAAAGTATTCTCAACGTATTACTTCTGATCCTTTCAGACGCCAGATGGCTCGAGCTTTACTACTTTAGAATATTAGTGCTCCTGATTTTGGACTACTGCAGTTTTTAATAAACCAAATGCATGGTTAAACTTATGAGAATCACTTCACAATCCCTCCCGACATGTATGAGCAATATGTTAAAATTAATGGATATTATATAACATTTCTAAATCTACTCCTGACACAAGATGTCTCCTACTCACTGTTAAAGCTCCATTCTCGCTGCTAGCTACACTGTGCTTTCAATTTCTACATCATTATTGTAGCAAAAAAGTCACATACTGAACCAGATTATACTCAAACTATTTGGATGTCACCAAATCCAGCTCGTAGACCCCGCCCTTAAAAATATATTTCAATGAGGACAGCAGAAACTTTGACTTTCAGCACGATAAATCAGTAATCAAACAGAATACTTTAATAATCCCAGGGAAATTATTTTGTACAAACCAGATATACAAAACAACATATATTATACAAGCTATCTATTAAAGAACAATATATATATAAAATAATATAAAAAGACAAATGTACAGTTTAAATAATGTGCAAAAAGCTGCATGAATTGTGAAAACATCACTTCTAGCGTCAACTCTGCCCACATCATGCTGCACAGTGAAGCTCAAAACATCCAAACTCTAGAACCAAGAAGAAAACATCTTTGTGTGTAGGGGACTTAATTAACAAAATCTACCACCACAATATCAAAATATAGACTTTAGGGTCTATATCAGTGCCTTAGCGAAAAAAAAACTCTTAATAGCAGAATAACTGACACATTAAAATACTTGGCAATGCAAAGAAAGGGTTTGGCGTCCAATAAAAAGCTAAACGATGCATACACATATTGAAACATGAATTATGGGACACCGTGGGCTGTTTGCAGGACATCTCATCATTATCTCCCCATAAATATGAAATAAATGTCATGACGGAGGCTGATCTCTCCTGCAGGAAAGTCTTCCAATTTGTTCTGCCAGACCACTCTCCTTCCCCCAGTGTCACTGCCAACACTTTTATTGTGGCTGATTGGGGCGACCCTTTGCCCTGGCAAATACAGAATCTCTTGCCAGTATTTTACCTACCCACCCAACATTTTTAGAAGCTGCATAACTTTTCTTCCTGCCGTTTCAGTTGTTACCATCTTTGACCTCACTACCTCCACACCCACCACCTGCACACTTGCTCCTAATTCAATCATCACAATTGTTCCCTGCCAACCGTCGACAGTAATTGTGCCATCCTTCTCTAGCATCATCCTTTGTTCTGGTTTCTGGCATTGTTATACCAATGACTGCTTTTTGGACTTTGTTGTCTGGTCCAACTCCTGCTTAGTTGCCGATCCCTGCTTGAAAACAAATAAAGACATGCTTATGTTTACCTTTTTGTCTACAAGTCATGCACAAATGGTTTTACTGAGCCGTAAAATAAGTTTCCCATGTGGAGACTAATACTAATAAGAAAGTGCAAACTTAAATCAACAAACAAACTGTTAGGTAATTGAAGGGCACGAGTGTATAACAATAACCCACATTTGATGTTTGATTTGTGTAGCTTTCTCAGAATTCAGTTAAGTAAACAGCTGTATTATTCAATATTTGACAAGGCAATAATACATTTACTAAATTAAGTATCAATGGAACAATTCTTCTATGTAAATTGGATGAAATACATTATTATATATAATAACCAAAATAATACTTTCTTTAACTGCCAGGTTCAGTACTTACTGATTAAATTAAAGGCCCTGCACACCACACACACAACACACACACACACACACACACACACGCACGCACATACAACAGTGTTTCGTGTTTACTCTTGCACGCACATAGTGCTGGTAAAGTAATACGTTTTAGTCTATGAGATGTTAATCTAAGTTAAGACTATTGTCTTGTGAACTGTAGACTACCAGCTACTAAGCAGTACGCCAGATATCTGAATTCCTTGTCAAATAAGATAAGTAATAAGAGTTCCTGAAGCCAATTTGGTAAAAATGAAATTCTTACTAAAACCTCCAAATAAAACATCTAACAGTCAAAATCTTTATTGAGTTATTTTGCTCACAGTGCATAAATGATTTCCAAGTCATGATTATAAAAAATTATAAAAGAGAGTAAAGAAGAAAAGAAAAAAAGAAAAGAAATACAAAAATAAGAGGAGAAGAATACATTAAGATGACATGAACTAAATGTCATCTTAATGTATTCCTTCTCTCTTATTTTTGTATTTCTTTTTAATATTTTAACTTTTTATATTTAATTACACTATATTTCTAATGGCTATCACTTTCCCCGTACTTATCTTTCATTATCATCTTTATTCGACCATGCTTTTTCGTCTTGTTCTTTATTTCTGTCTCGTCTTTATTTGGCTTTAATGCCTGGCTCTCTGTTGTTATATCGCCATCTGAGTATCCTGGCTTTGCTTTGTCTGTTAAAATACTTTGTAAACTGTTTTTAAAGGTGCTTTATAAATAAAGTTATTATTATTATTATATGTATGATGTTCCCCATAAAATGTCAATATCCAGCTGTCAATAAGCAGCACGTTTGGGCCTGACAGGTTGCTAAGCTTTGAATAATGAGAGGTCACCCGAGGTCAACTCAGTGTATCAGTAAGAATGATGTGAGGCAGAAGTTGTCTCTGCCTTAACAACAGGAGAGCGAGGGAGATGTCAGGCAAACCTCTTCTGTACACGCCAACATGAGCAAAGTGAAAACACCTGTGAGTGTGTGTGAGTGAGAGACCCCACACACCATGTTTAGCTACTTTAAATAATGTACTGATATTCTGGCCTCAAATGAATGAAACAGAAACCAGAGATTAAATTTCAGGAACAGTCTTTTAGTTCTGCAGCTTTAATGATCTGGAAAATACAATTCTTTCCATTTATTGTGGTAAGAACTTGTACATAAAGTGACTGTGCGACAGGAAATGCTTCTGTTATGACTTATTTTCCATATGAGCGAGCCTGCAGACAGCTTCTAATTAGCTGGTGGATTCCTCAGTTCATCACAAACAAACTACAAAGCAAAATCCAGACACCCGTTTGATTTTTATGACAACTAGAGCAACACATTCTTACTCTATGAAGCATTTCACAGCAAAATCAGAACAAAGGCCTTTTCCACTGCCAGAGTGTTTAATAAAAGCACAGTAAGGCAAGACTCTGGGATTTCAATACATCTCATAAGATGAGAACTTGGAACTGAGAAATATACAAACACTTAATCCGAGTGTGTCTCCTACGCCTCTGTGATGTTTCTAGATGGAATTTCTGCACCACCTAGTGTTGAAAGGGTAGATCTCACATTTAGTGATCTCTTGTATCTTAAATTAAACTAATGCATTTCAAAATGTGGAAATAAAGCAAATTCTTATCTAGTCAAACTTTAAAAAGCTTGAAAAGCCGTCTCACCTTCAACCAAAGATATATTACACAAAGTAAAAACCTTTCTGAAGAGTTGTGTTTACATCTTAAGCCCAGAGTCAGCATACTTCTTCCAGTAAGCACTGACTCTTCAACAAAGTGGGAGCTGAGTCACAGACCAGATGGAGACTCTGAGAGGACAGATCTATAATGAGTGGAAACCTGGCTAAGCTATAAACGACTGTAACAAACACTGAGCCAAGTCCTACACCAACAGAAGAATAAGTGTATTTTTCATATTAAAAGTATAGTTTTAGTTTTAGCTTGAAGTGTGTTATAAATGTGAAGTACAGTATATATAAGTATATTCATACAGTATCACAATATACTGTACATGCAATGTATTCTGGTGCTTCCTATGTGTTTTGCGCTTTATGTTAAAGTAGATGTTTAGTTTGGACTATCTTTCTATAATAAGAAGTGTTATGCATGGTTGTTGGTATAGTTTCATACTGTGTAGGATTCAATACTTTATTTTCCACTTCGGTAGTTGAGACTGCTGAACTTCTATTTGCATGTATCTGATTTCCAATATGTCACTTTTTATAAACATGTTGTTTTTAGATCTTTAGTTCATCAGGCAGACGCTGTTTTGGAGCATTTGACCTCTGACTTCCTGAAAAGGGGTGCAGGGCATCTGGACAACAACCCATTTATTAACAATTTAGTGCAGAGTGGATGGATTATTGTAGAAATCAATAGCCAATTATTCAAGTCACTACTAAAAGAACAGTTCAGACAGAACAATTGCTTCCTTTTAATTAAATGTCTTCATGTCCATTTTAAGCCTGTAACACTTATGCAGCACTATTTTAATCATCTTTTCATTATGTTGATTACTGTAGAATAAACACAGACTCAAATACTGTACATTAATAACATGTATTGGCTCCTCTCCCCGTTTGACTGTCTGTTATTCTTGTTGGTTGTTCCGTAGCAGATGTTCTGCCTGTAAAAATAAGACAGAACTGCTGTATCAGTTCGCTCACATTTAACAAAAGCTCTTCATTATAGAGGGTCTACTGTGTGAATACCAGAAAGTCGACAGGGTCCTCTGGTTTGATCTTGCAGCAGTCTAACATGGCGTCAGTCAGTGAGGGCATCACATACTTCATCAGATAATTCCTCAGAGGAAGAGAGTGAGCTTCCAGCAGCTCGTACTCCTGTCTGTTCAGCTCAGACAAATTCTTCTGCTAATAAATCATAAAAATATTTCATTGACTGTTAGTATTTATAGACATTTACAGACATTATAGACTATATAGGGAGTATAAAGTCTGCATTCTTTCTTTCTGCTCCTGTTTATACTGTACATCCTCTACATGTATGACACACTTCTCTTAACTCAAATATGAGTTCAGCTCTCAACTTACCCACTCCTCATACTGAGCAGACATCTCAGCCAGTGCTGCTTCATTCCTGCGTTTCTTCTCAGCAGCCTCTGCAGCCAGTTTCTGTTTCCTCTCTTCTTCTTTCTTTCTGTCCTCCTCCTCTTGCTCCTCTGAACTCAGGCCATAGTTTTTGGGAATCCCCACGATTTCAGTCATCCTTTTCATAACATGTCTGTAATCTGAATCACCTGTAGTGACCTCTGGAGAGGGACAAGTCATACTTACTGTCAAGAAACAGAACCATTGTGAAGTGGATTGGCAACTTCTACAAGACTCTCTACTGAACATTATGTTGGTTGCCATGAGGAAATCTGCTGGATTACTTAACAAAACACAATGTGATTGATACATGGCACAAAAAAATAAAAATTGCTGTCTTTTTTAATAAGCCAGATGCTCTAAAAAGATTAAAAGAAACATCACATCAAACATGTCACTAAAATGTTTGTACAGTAAAAATGTAGGCGGAGCCAGCAGCTGGTTAGCTTAGCTTAGCAATAAAAGCACTGAAAACAGTTAGCCTGGCTCTGTCTTGAAGTCCCCATACCAGTCTACTAGCACTTCTAAAGCTCACCAATTAACATGATATGCCTCATTCATTTAAACCATTAAAAAATGGCAATTTCCCATTTCACAGGGATCAGCAGTTGCCTGGCAACCAGCAGACACTCCAGGAAATAGTTTGTCCCATAACTCCTGTAAAATGGCAAATTGTCAATTTTAGAGTTCAGAATAAACAAACACACTTCTCTATACTGTGAGCATTGAAGTTTTTTTACTATAAACACACAAGAATGGTATCAATCTTCCAATCTTACTCTCAGCAAGGAAGGTTTTGCTGGAAATGCAATCTTCATTTCGAGAAAAAGACTACAAATAGTCTAAGACATGATCCCATTTTTCATTGTTGTTTCATGTTGTTAAACATAACAGACTATTCAACCCACAGACAGATTTGCACAAGCCTGCTTCGTCTGCAGTAACCTTTGTTTCCTCAGTCCTCTTATGGCCTAACATGAACTATGGGCCTTTTGAGGACAGTACCTAAATGTTCTGGGTGAATCTCAAGCTCATCAAAGTAGTCCAGCAGGGTTTCCTCAGCGGTACTGAGTTGTCTGTATTTTGTCAGGCGAGGGACAAATTCCTCCTGAGTGTAGCGCATTTTCTCTGCCACGCTCTGGGGAAGTCCCTGTGCTCTCTTTGTTAGAAAATCATCTGTTGCATTCAGGGCAAAAACATGCTCTGCAAAACATAAAACAAGTACAATAAGAAACAGCTTCAGCCACAATGTTTCGTATTATTATTAAGAGAACTTTGGTGAGTTGGTAGTAAGGTTATTTTTACAGATGATTCTCAGTATCAGTTGTAGTGTTTACTATGTTGTAAGAACTGAATGGTTTATCATAAATTAAAGTAAGAGGTACATCAGCAACAACCTGGAGTGATCTTCTTGTTGTACACAGGTGTTTTGGAGATCAAATTCTGGTTCTCCGTTCCCTCTTCTGAATGATAAAATCACAGACACACTAGTGTAATCAATATTAATAAACGTTAGACAGTAATTTATGAATGGACGTAACTTACCAGAGAAAATCAGCTTTGCTTGCTCATAGGTTTTAGGGAAGCCATCAAGAACAAATCCTTGGTTCCTACATGGCTTTGAATTCAGCTTTTCTTGCAAAATGTCAAAAAGTACATGGTCGGCCAGTCGACCTAATGGACCAACAAAGGTGTTTAAACCGAGGAACTAAAAGACTCTCAATGCAACAACAACTCATCAATAATTCAACCACAGATATACCAAATACAAAGATTATGAAGTAACAACCAACTGGCAACCTCTGTAGCTGAGAAATGAAGGCAACGCAAAAGTACCAACACTGCAGTTCCTCAAACGTTCCTCAAAAAATGTTTATAGCCTGGTTCAAAAAACAGTTTCGGTCTCTACAGCCCCAGTCATAACAACTGAACTGTGATTTTTATATAATTCACTCGGTTAAAGTTATGTTTTCTGTAACCAGCCTTCAATCATCCTGCCTTAGCTCCACTCACGTTCCACGTCTTTGCCCAATTTTAAATTAGCCAGCGGAGTCAGGGCTGCCAAGATGGCAAAGGCCAGAGCCGACCACCCTGAGCTTCACGACAGCTCTTAAGAAACCTATGGGTAACATCACGGAACCTACATCTATATTTATGCAGTCTATGGTAACAAGTCTCTGTCTCACCTTTAATATCTATAGATTTATACTTTTAAAATAATGTTAATAAACCATTCTTGTGTTTCTTTAATAACCTTCATTCATTTCCATGCTTTTGTTAATGTTTTCCAGTTGTTTCAGTGCAGCAGCAGCTACCTCTTCACTGACATGTTCAGTGTCAGCTCCACTCACTAGCTCCTTCTGTAAAATATTGGGGGAAAAATGGTTGTGTTGTACATCTCAAATTGTGAAAGACTTCCAGAAGAGGGCAGTATATTTCCTTTACATGACAGCAATGAGAGAAGAATTTTATCTGCAAATGCGATTCCTTGATTCTACCGACCAGTTGTGCGATCTTTTCCTCAATGACATCTTTGATCTTGATGTGGTGTATCTGGTAATGACTGCAGAGCTTCTCTGCAACTGTGGTTTTACCCACAGCTGGAGGTCCAACCAGGCAGATTCGGACTGGCTAAGGAAATTAATAAAAATTTAAAAAAAGGAATCATGACAGCTTTTATCTGGTATTAAAAAAACTCTCAAATAGCCCCAAATACCCATTAAGGTTCATGTATTAAATCTTTCTTGGTATCTGTATACACATAATGAGAACTCTTGAACATTCTTCCACTTAACAAAGTTAATGGACATGTTTCTAGTGTATCACCAGCTGCCTTTGAGCCTTAAGTATATATCTGGTACCAACTGGGTGCCAACATTAAATTGTGTTGTCTTTATTTGAAGGACTTAAACACTCACAAGTAGCTGCCTGGTCTCTTTGTATTCTTCCACAATGCTCTCCATGTTTTCAATCATCCCAGCCTCAGAGGTCCAGTGGAGACTGAAGGAGTCTTTAATGATAAAAGCATCCATGCGGACGTTGATACTAAGGTACTCCAATTCCTCTGGCTGAAATGACAACACATAATGTTTTATATTAATTATTTACTGGTAAAAAAATGCAATGATGTGCCATATAGGGCCAACAACTTTTTATTACAACTACAGGCTACATCAGGTGGTTTCTCTGGTCCTGTATCTGGAGTCACTAAAGCTAGAAACAGCTCAGATATGAATCCATGTTTGTGTTGTTGTTGTTACCCAGTTGTTAAATGGGTATAGCATTGTCATCCTAGAAACACAAAATCTAGCACTGCTTTAACTGTGTCAGATAGAAAATCACAACCGTCCATTTAAAACAGCTAATTATAGTATATTCTATTATTATTATTATTATTATAATTATTATTATTACATTGTACTAAAATTTGATTGGGTATTATTTTTTTTTTACAAAAGTGTCCCTTCACTGGTTTTCCATGGAGAAGCAGCTCTGTATTTAATTGCTTGATAATGTGGTTCGTTTTAATGCATGTGTCTCTAGGTTCGATTCTTAATCATAGTCATAAATATCAACTCGATAAGAAAATAATGAATGAATGGAGAAAGAGTTGATTCAGAGTAGATTCTAACTTATTTAAAGTAAGAATAAATTGACATACTGTACCTTAAAAGCCTTCATGGTGATGGCTTCCTGTTCAGGTATATTGTTAATTTTTCCTGGCCCAAGTGTGTCGCTTATCATCTGAAATGTTAAAAGAGAATAATATATTTTTTGTTTTTTTTTACATTTTTGTCATTTCATGAGCTCCAAGTAAAAAGTCCACAATTGAGTGAAAAGAAACACCTGTCGCGAGAGAGAGACAACGTCAGATGCTGGATTCAAATCAATCTTGGGTCATTAGCACGTTACAACAAATTTATCATCAATTTTTAATATATTGTTGCATTCTTATTTATAACAAGGTTACCTTTACAACATCCTCTAAAGTGTTATTGGAGTCATCGACAGCAAGAATGTACTTTGACTTTGGCTTGGCTTCAATAATGTTTTGAAGCACTCTGAAAAAGGAAAACAGTTCAGCCCTGCAGTAATTATCTCAAGAACAAATTATGGTATAAATGTAGTAAAGTAAATTAAATTAAATTAAATACAGTAAATTGAAATCACCCTCCAACGTCATATACGTGAATCATGGGGATGTAATTTGTGCCCTCTCCAAATAGAGGAACTTTTGGAAACTGCAACAACCAAGACACCTGTTGGACAAATACAAAAAGATTTCACAAAAGAGGCATACAGTATATAGACACAGACAGTATTAATAGTTATTATCACATTCATATCTACCTTGAAGAAGTAGTGAAAGAGGTTCTCTCCCTTCCCGTACTGAAGACCACAAGCTACAACATAGCCATTAAGCTTGGACTTTTTCTGTAAGATTGGAAAATCAAAAGGTTTACTGCCGTTTTTCCAGTCTGTGTCTCTCATAGAAAAATACATTTTGCTGGTGCAGAAAAAAAAAGATAAATGATACTATTCTGTTGGAATATTTATATAATAATATTAACGTACACTTCGACCAAGTTTGAGCACAAGTTTCTCCAGATTGTTGTGATCTCTGAAACTGGGATGCGGCCTTCGTCTTCTGAACTCCTCCTCTGTTAGCAGGATGTTGTTTGATGTTTCATCCTGAAGAGAGAAATTACGTTGGTTGTGTTTTATTCCCAGAACAAGTCGACCGTTTGCCTACATTTTCCAACGTGCTCACCCGATTCTGCGGCTTGGTCAAGGCCCAGGTCATCACAGTGGAGACTAAGATGAACATTTTCCGAGACTTGAAGTTCTCCATTTCACCATGAAGGGCTGAAGGGGAAAAAAAAGCAGTAGGCTCACATATCTTAAGTTATTATGGATAATGGTAAGAGATCAAGGCACACTTAAGCCAGTCCGTTAAATAATAATACTTACTCCCTTACCTTCGATTGCCCATGTTGCTTCTTCAACCTGCTGTTTTGTGGCATTTTCTGAGATGTTGTACACCACTACATCACACTCCAGCAGGCGCCCAAGCAGCTCATCTCGAGTTGGTGACTACCAAAAGGGATTGTAAATAAAACTGTTACAGTCTCGGTATGGAGCGTCAACAAGTAAAAGTAGTAATACCACAATATGAAATACTAAATTACAAGTTTAAGTCCTGCATTCAAACTTTGACTTCAGTGAAAGTATGTCAGTATTATCTGGAAGTAAAAGTAATCAATGCAGAAAAATGTCCTCTGTGACTGTTACTGATACTATTATATATTATATCATTAGATTATTATTATACACGCATTGTTGTAAAGGAGAATCAGTTAATTTGGAAAATTCAGAAATGTCAAAACCAAAAAAAGTCCAAACCACCAAATTATGAGAAAATAAATCAAAATAATTAAAAAGCAGCTAAATATCACATTTTAGAAGTTCGAACATGATTGAAGGATTATAATTCAGTAGTATTAGGATTATACTTTTCTGTCAATCAGTTCATTCAGTTTAGCTGTACTTGGATATTTTCATATGTTTTGTGTGCAAAAATCTAATTTATGAAGCAACTAGTGATTAAAGCTATCAAATAATTGTAGTGGAGTAAAAAGTACAATATTTCCCTTTGAACTGTGGAGTGGAAGTATAAAGTAGCATAAAATAAAAGTACTCAATACTTGATTACATGTGACACTACTTCAATACACTGCTGATTGTGAATGCACCCACTTTCTGTGGCCTTGACAAACAAAAGAATGACAACATAACTAAAGATGAGATATTCCTTTATTGATCCCACTTATAGGGGCATTTAAATTGGCACAGCAGTACAGAGTAAAGAAAGAGAATACAATGTAATAAATATAAGGTGTATACACTATATAGTTGTTGTTTGATGCCTGACTCACCTCATACTGTTCAAGTAGAAAGCTTTCTTTCTCGTCTGCAGTGGAAGTTGACACACTTCCGATGATTTGGAAAGCAGGTTCAGGTCGAGGGGAGGTCAGCGTCTCCTCTGCCTTCTCAGAGCTGTTTCTGGCAGCGCAGGTCGATAAAAACTGTTAAACAGGACAGAAAAAATGGCCTTAATGTAGCGAAAGACGAGCCATTTTACATTAATAATACAATATGAACCTAGTTACATTAGCTACAGTTACCTTGGCGATGTGTTTGGAGGAATAGCTGTCGACGTCGTTGATAAAAATACGTTTGGGACGGCTTTGCTGCTTTTTGTCCCCCATTTTAGGAAAGTATTGAGCTTTTGTAGTAATTACTCATTTGATTACTAATATAAGTGTATTAGCTAAAGCTCTAGTAGTCTCCAATTGACGGTTGTTGTTGAGTTTAATCGTTGCTATGAACTCCCTCCGGTTGCTATGGCTCAGCCAATGAAATGCTTCGCTGAGAATGCGCAGTAGGGTTGACCAAAGCCTTATTCACTTCTGCATGTCTGCATGTTTTATTTCCTTTTATGCTCTGTGGTGTTTCAAAGCCTTCACACTAACATTTAAGAGGGGGAATGTTAAACCTTATTTTATAAATTTTTTCTCAGCTTAAAATTAATTACAAATAAAGTAATGCAACTTGATACTGTGTTCAGTGTCTTTTTAAAGAAAAAAAATTGTATTTTAAAATTGTTATCCTGCTAAATAATCCCAATTTTACTAAATGTAACTGTAATCTGATTACGTCTTTTTTTTCTGTAACTGTAATGGATTACGGTAACTGTAATGGATTACAGTTACCTTTTATTTTATCCTGATTAGCTTTACATTACATGTAATCCATCACTCCCCAAGCCTGCATACTGTAATAAGCCTTCCAATTGTCTTTATTTAGTAAAATTTTGTTTGTTTGTTTCTACAGTTATCTACCTTAATTACATAATTATTTTATTAATTTATTAGTAGATTAAGTAATTTATTAATCTCAGTAGGAGATGTTTTGATGTGTAAATACGCTCTACCATACACTTTAGCACTTTAGGCTGTAGGCCTAATATTTCCAGACTGGACTGTCACAGAGTTAAGATTTATCATACCCCACGGGATAATTTTAGTTCCTCCATGTTGTTGTTGCGCTGATGTGAGCCCATAAGGGAGAAGGTTGGTGTGTTTTACTGTCTTGCAGTGTTGCATTGATAAAATATTATTCCAAGACAAACCAAAGCTTGCTTAACAGCCAAACTTCAGGAACTCAGGGTTACAATCACATCCTGTTTAAACTGAAATCCACAAAGTCCTATGATATAGGGACTTAAAACATGAAATATGTCTGTTATATTGATTGACTTTATTGTACCATTTTTATTACATGAGGTCACTATAGTATATCCCCATTAAATTCATGTCCCCACAACACAATACACGCACACATACCACACACACCTGTGGGTCTGTAGATCCCCTCATGGTGCAGGACAATAGAGCGCTGACATGGAAACTTTCAAAGCACCCCATATATTTATAGAGCTGACATTATCTGAGAAACTGCTGGCAGTGCTTGATGGTGTCTGCTCTACACAGGTCTCAGCACTCAGTAAAACACACCCTGTCATAGATTCAAAGCACAGTGATACTGAAGGGAACGGCTTCATGGATGATTGGTTGTTTCTGGCCATGTATAGTAAACCTCTAAGCTAACTGTTAGAAGTCCTGTAATTCCTGAAATAACATGTGGTGCTGAGAGTGATTCCAAATATAGGAAGTTAAGGAATTAAATCAGTTTCCTAGAGAAGTCAGTGAATGTATGGGAATTTAAAAAAAAAAGGCTCAAAATGTAGCAGAACTTATTTTACAACGTCTAATTATTTTTTAATGAGAAGGTTTTTATCTTAAAGGACCAGTGTGTAGGATTTAATGTCTGTAGTTGCAGATTGTAACCATTTGAATACAGCTCTGCTTTCCAAGGGTATAGGAGAAACTACGGTGGCTATGAAATTTGTAAAAAAAAAAAAAAAGAAAATACGAAAAGCCCTCACTAGAGCCAGTGTTTGGTTTGTCCAATCTGGGCTACTGTATAGAAACATGGCCGTTCAAGGATCCGCTCCCTCTGTAGACAAAAAAACAGCTCATGAAGAAACAAAAACACAACAAATCGTATTATATTTTAGGCGATTACACACCAATGAAACATACATGTGAATAATATATTCCAATAGATCTTCCTAAATGATACACATTGGACCTTTAACTGTAGCAAGCACATATAGTTCATCCAAAAGAATCATTCCCCATCAATAAACTGGCCAAATTATTGCCCATTATTGGCTGTCAGAGGTATTTTTATTAGCACATATGTCATTATTGGCCTCAAAAAGCAATTTTCTATCATGTGCTAGAAAGAATATTTTTAGGTGATGACAACAATTGGAAAGTCATAAAACCAAATGTTTCTGCTGTCACATTTATAACCTCTCCTTTCTCATCCCATGTGTAATGATTATATACAGTTACAAAATAGCTGCTGATGTGATTGTTCTGATTAACATGTCAACCAGCATGCAGTCTGTCAATCGCCGGCAAGCCATCAGTTGTTTACAGCCGGCATGTGGCACATTACGATAACGGCTGTTGGTGCCAAGGACAGCTCCGCATGTTCATTGTCAGTGGCTGTTTGTGAAATGTACTCTGCAGTGACAACATTTTGGTAAATCAAAACCATGCAAAACATGGCAATGAGACTACTGGTGTCAGACAAGTAGTCAGATTAGTTATCTGATACATTTATCTATTTTATAGTCTGACATTGTAACAAAATGGCCTCCTATATTGTCTATAGTAAGTATAGTAACTTAACTTAAAGTAATCAGCAGATTTTACTATCCTGACCTACTAATGGTCAAATGCGGAAGAGTTGTATAATTTGTTTTTATTCAAGTTTTTCAAAAGAACCTAACATTTTTGTACAAATCTGGATTCAATGCTCTTACAGCAACAGATACTATTATATACTGTATGCCATCTTTGCAGAAAATGTCCCATCTTTATTTTTTTGTGTTCTTTCTTTTACCATTTGAGCAATAATGTGTAATGTAACATTGTATTGTCAATGGTAAACAAAACAATGTCTAAGCAGGACTGGCTGTTAAAAAGCAATTGTTGCTAACAGCTGCTGAAGTATGTGTGTGTGTGTGTTGGAGGAGGTGGGGGGTGAAGTGCAGAGGGGGCAGCTGTCAAGACAGACAGACCGTGTGCTTCCTACATGCCCTTATAAGGACAAATGTCCCTCAAAACCATGACCCATTTAAGACCAATCTGCTTTATCCTGATAAAGACCTGGTGATAAAGATAGGAGTCTGCCAAAAAGTGCTCCGTTGACTTGAAGGGAGCTGTTGACAAAACACAGCACCGGTTTTAACCAAAAGCTACTGTGATGTCTCAGACTCCCACTTTTTGCTCAACAATGTGCAGCAGCTTTCCTCTTACTGAACAAGAGAGTCTGTGCCAAGCAGACACTTAAAACTACTATTGCAGTAATGAGTTCAATTTTACGTTCGTTTTGGTTGGTGTGTTATTAACTCATTCAGAATCATTCAATTAAGATATTAACGACAATACGCGTTTGTCAATGGAGGAAGTAGATTTACTCAAGTAAAATATAATTTTGATGTCTCATGCTACTTTATACTTCTACTCCACTAAATTCTAAAGCAGTTAAGGTAATAAATGATGCTGACAGCAGACTATTTATACTGTAAGTTCACTGATAAATACCTTTGTACTTGACTTAATATTTGAATGTAGGACTTTTATTTGTGTTTTTATAGTGTGGTATTGCTACTTTTTCTTAAGTAAATGAGAGGAAAATGACCATCAGAGGGCAAAAGACTCCTGAAGGACTGTGTTCACTCACTGCTGCTGCTGTGAGAACAACACTAAGTTAAGATATGACCACACATAGTCCAACTTCACTAACATGGTCGTCACAGGTTTTGTTGGAATTGTAAACCAAAATCAGACTTTTCTTCTTTGTCTATTATATATTTGTTATTCAGACTGATCATACAGTTTATTAGTGATTACCACAGATAGTACAAAAAGCTTCATGTCCCGTGTGCAAATAATGTGCAAATCCTTTGTAATAGTTACAATCTTGTTTTTCTCTGTCTTTTTTGCTATATTGTCTTATCAATTTATGTTTCACATTGTTGTAGTCTGTTGTGACTGAGGTCATTGTAGAGCTGAAACAAATGTATTTATTTATTAAAAAAATAAGTAATTCTTTGAGCAAATAAATGTCAAACATTCTCTAGTTTCAGCTTCTTAATTGTGAGGATTTGCTGCTTTTCTTCATCTTATGGTAATGTAAACTGAATATCTGAACTCAAAATCTGAACATTTGATCATTGTGTGAGTTGATTATGACACAAAAACCCTTTGCAGTCTGTGGTGATTCACCAGGAAATTCACCCAAAACTGCGTTAATAGTTAATCAGTTGGCAAATATAGATGATGTGAAAGCAACTCAGGACTCTTGTTATGTAAAAGCTCGGAATAGAAATATACATGTAGGTTAGTAGCGTCTCTCTCTGGGGTACATTACAGCACATGGCTGAAAATGGAATATTTCAAAGTGTTGATGGTGTGGGTGGTATTTACATTCTTATTGCACTCACAGTGGCCTGATAGGGCTAGGATAGCATGGGGATGTAGGTACTGTGGGGGCAGTACGAGGTGACGAATAAGGAGCCTGAGCTCTCGCCGCAGTCTGTGGCGACATGCAGCCACTGGCACCTGTTACTCTCTATTTCCCTAAAAGGAGACACTGGAGCCAATCAGAGCTCAGAACAGCCGCTCGTTGCTGCCTGCACAGGCCATCCCAGGGATCTGTCGTCTGTTGGAGGTCTGGATCCCTGGCCTCAGCTCCCTCCCACCCACCACCCCAACATCCCCTCTTACAATATTGCCTCTCAGCTGTCTGGCATGTTTTTGGACCCCCTCCTTCCTTACACATGCCACGACACTGGCAAACTGTCACAGGCAGGTCGCCTTAGACGGCTCCTTAACCAGATTGCTCAGACAAGATCTCAGATTACCATCACACCCTCCAATCACCCACATCCCCAGTGCCCTGTTCGAGCTTAGTCATATTAACACATCCTTAGGGACCTGAAGGGCAGCTCCACAAAGTATGAGTGGGACAAATATGCTGCTATGTATGAGGCAAGAATCTGAACATATCAAATTAATAATATTGCAGTCGGAGGGGTTTCTGAGGGCCCCTAATCTCTCTGCCACATTGTATTTAAAGGGCATATGTTGATTTATGGGCCATAAATTGATTCTTAAAAAATCCACATAAATAGTTTGACATCTAACATACCATTAATATACTGTAGTCTAATGATTTGACACCTAAAGTATGATTAAAATACAGCAATTTAACATACAAAGCATATGTTTGTCTCAAATGTGCATACTGCAAATTGAACATATCTTAGAGCTCCTTAATTACACTGAAATTAATATCAAACTATCCACCATCCAGGCAGAAATCTTCTCTTCCTTCTGGTCGTCTCCAAGGCAACATCTCTCCAGTTTAGTGGTGTCCCTGACACAGGATCCACTTTACTGAGCCATTTTTCTAAGCAGCACTTAATTTGGACTTGTGTGAACTCCTGAGCCCGCCCACTGGCCCCCAGCTTCAGGATGCAAGGACATATTTAAGGACCCCCTCGCACCGTCAGCCTTTGTCCCAGTGGAAACTCCAGTCTTGTGGTTACAACTTGGTGAGTCCCTTTGCAGTCTTCTTGCATTTGAGCTGTTGGTTTCTGGACTGTAGGGATCAGGGAGGATGAGTAGACGCTGCTGCTGTAGGATATTTTACTGCCACAACATGGATATTCTTTTTTACGGTTTGAAGTTGTGATCTAGAGTTGATAGTGTGTTGTTGGGGGGAGGATGAGAGCTGAGCATAAGAGAGGGAAAGAGGAGGATGTTGAAAGAAAAAATGGTGGTGTTGAGTTTAAAGAGTTTTGAAAAATATGGAAAGATTCAATAACAGTGAGCTGCACTCTGAAGGCTCAAGACTCTGAGGTTTAGGATGCAGGGATGGGATGCTCACTGTAGAGTGGCAGACATTAAGTCTAACTCAGGTTAGATACAACCTGAGAAAACTTACTAAGTTAAAGAAATATCAATATTCTTTTAAAGTAAATACATAGACTTAAGTTTTACCTTTGAAATACCAGAAATAACCAAACAACTGAGTGTGTTTTCATGGCGGGGATAAAAACCTTCAGAAGTAACAGTTATAACATTGTGGACAATGAAAGTCTGCCGATCTTGGTCAGGACATTCTTCAGAAAGAGATGTTTTAATTTCATTACATTTCTGCATTAATAGTAGCTATTTAACCCCCCTCTAAGTAACCCTCTCTTTTATTTCAAGTACCGTCTAACACTACATTTAGTTGTATGCCAGTATAGTGTCAATAATGTTGAATTAATTTTGGTGGATTCTTCTACTTTAGCTCTGTCAGAGAAGAACCTCAACTCATAATCACAATGAATGGCACTGATTTCAAACGTTTATATAAGATTAAACAATATTGCCCCGATGTATCAGAGTCAGTCTTGTAGGAAAACCTCAAAGGAGGAATCTTAGAGTGGACAGCAAGGAAACATGCTGAAGTTTCTATGTATTTTTGTAGTTGGCTCTGTTAGTGTTTTGATGAAGCTGTCTGAAAAAAACTCTCATTACAACATTAAGTACTATTTTACTGCTTCATCTGCAGTACTGCAGCTGATATCCATGAAAACATTACACAGAATGCGACAACAGCCATTTAAAATGAACTTACATATGATGATTTGAATGGGGGAAAACTGTATGAAGGAGTGGATGCTGCCACTTGGGATGCAGGCTGTGGTCAGAGATCCTGGAAGGATCAGAGCACATGGTCTGGCTCCAAACAGAGGACCCCACTATGTGGCGACAGCTGAGGAGAGACCCAGGCCTCCGCTGCCACTTGTCAAAAGACACACCGCCTCAGCTGTTAACTGGCTCTGGCTTTACGATGAGATACAGAGGAGGGGTTGTTGGGGGCGGAGGAGGGTGACAAGGGTCCCGAGGCTGAAAATAGACATATGAGTGTGTGTGGGGGGTCGAGCTATGTCCCGTTTTGGCTTTTCAGGCAGCTGTAAGACTCAAAGGAGATTAGAGCACTCAGAGGTGTCTTCATACTGAACATGGTGCTACATTGTTTCTCAGAATTGCAGGGTTTTGTTTTATTTGTGTGAACTGATCTTCCAATCAGACTTTTAAATGCAAATATTACACATTTTAGGAACCTTGATGAAATCAAATGATGTGTTTTGATGTAAACACTGTCAAGTAGAAGCTCCTGATTCAGACAAAATAAATAATTTCTGTGAACATCACAAACTAATATTGTACCTGTTTCCACCCTCCGTCTCTTTATAGAAGGCCAGCCCAGAAAAGACCAAACATGTGTGACGACGACGAGACCACCGCCCTCGTGTGCGACAATGGCTCTGGCCTGGTCAAGGCTGGGTTTGCCGGTGATGACGCTCCCCGTGCTGTCTTCCCATCCATTGTTGGACGCCCCCGTCACCAGGTGGGACTTCTGAAAGGGCCACTAGTTTCTGAAAGATTAAATTCTTGTAGCTTCATCACAGGCTGTCTGTCTTGTTCCTGAGTTTCTGAGATGTGTTTGCTTCGTTCTCAGGGTGTGATGGTGGGTATGGGTCAGAAGGACAGCTATGTGGGAGACGAGGCCCAGAGCAAGAGGGGTATCCTGACTCTGAAGTACCCCATCGAGCACGGCATCATCACCAACTGGGACGACATGGAGAAGGTGAGATCTTTTTATTTGTTATTGGAGCCTAATCCTGAGTCATTTTATGTGTATGAAACTGACCCCTTGACATATTCCTCCCTGTTCTTGTTTCACAGATCTGGCACCACACCTTCTACAACGAGCTCCGTGTAGCCCCAGAGGAGCACCCCACCCTCCTGACTGAGGCCCCCCTTAACCCCAAGGCCAACAGGGAGAAGATGACCCAGATCATGTTTGAGACCTTCAACGTCCCTGCCATGTACGTCGCTATTCAGGCTGTGCTGTCCCTGTACGCCTCCGGTCGTACCACCGGTGAGTCTCTACTCAAAACTCCTTGCCAACATCTTAGGTCAACAAAAATGCACTTTATGTCTTCTGACAAACTGCTGCTTTTTCTGGACAGGTATTGTGCTGGACTCTGGTGATGGTGTGACCCACAACGTACCCATCTATGAGGGTTACGCTCTTCCCCACGCCATCATGCGTCTGGATCTGGCTGGTCGTGACCTGACTGACTACCTTATGAAGATCCTGACTGAGCGTGGCTACTCTTTTGTCACCACTGGTAAGAAGGCCCCAACAACTAACTGGGAACAAACACTGGATGATTTAAAAGACTAATAGAGGTTATATGACATATAATAGACTACGTAACTTTAGCTGAACAGTGGAAACACGTGACATTTAAATCAAAAATACATATTCTTCCTCTTGTCTGTAGCTCTATGTATCCATCTAGATTATTTTGGTGTGAGTTGTCAAGTTTTGGAGATACGGGCCGTAGAGATGTATGCCTTCTCTCAAATATAATGAAACCAGATTTCACCCGGCTTGTGGTGCTCCAAAGAATTACTTCTGAAAAACCATGACGTAGTTACTCAAGATAATCCACAGACCATACTGTGATCAGTTGTATGTAGGAACTATTTACTTTCTAACATCACCAGGCAGAAGGAAGTAGGCATCTACAAATGGACGAGATTAGACAATGGTGAAGCGGTAATGTCAGCTCACACCAGACCAGTATCTTATGGCTGTAATAGAAAAATCCCTGAGTGAAAGAAATAATTTGTTATTTATTATTCTCATAATTTTTTCATTAAGCTTACATTTGCCACCATAAGGCACTGGTAATTTATACGGCAAAGCAGTATGAACTCCCTTTAAACTTGAGAAGACAACAAAGCTGAGGGCTGAGCCTCATTTACTTTGACTGTACTTAACTCCAGGCTCCTGTAATGATCCCAGAAATCTGTTTGTAGATTATCTATCAGTGTGTTCATCAGTCGACTAAACTGTGACATTTCCCCCCTCCAGCTGAGCGTGAGATCGTGCGTGACATCAAGGAGAAGCTGTGCTACGTTGCTCTGGACTTTGAGAATGAGATGGCCACCGCTGCCTCCTCTTCCTCCCTGGAGAAGAGCTACGAGCTGCCCGACGGTCAGGTCATCACTATCGGCAACGAGCGTTTCCGCTGCCCCGAGACCCTCTTCCAGCCTTCCTTCATCGGTGAGTCATGACAGCTGACCTAACACTCAGCAGCTACAGTTACTCTCTGTGAACACCACACATTCTGCAAGTCACATTATGTGATTGTGTTTCACGTATATGCAATGGATGGCTTGGTGAGTTTACTCCACCTAGTGGCCAAAGGGACATTGCTAATAATAATAATATTAATTATAATAATAATCATTGGCCATCATTCTTTAACAATATCAAAAACTGAATTTTCACAAAAATAATGTATGAGCTGACAAAAACAATCATTGTATCCAAAAATGGTGATATATATTATTTATTTTATTGTAAAGCTTGTAAGTTTTTTTAAAGGTCCTATATAAATAAAGTTATTACTGTTATTATTTCTCAAAATATTTCCAATTAGCACATGTTTACTGAACACTCACCTTTCACCTCTCACCTTCCCAGGTATGGAGTCTGCTGGTATCCATGAGACTGCATACAACAGTATCATGAAGTGCGACATTGACATCCGTAAGGACCTGTACGCCAACAATGTGCTCTCCGGTGGTACCACCATGTACCCTGGTATTGCTGACCGTATGCAGAAGGAAATCACCGCCCTGGCCCCCAGCACCATGAAGATCAAGGTGAGCCCTTATTGATCAGCATTAACTGGTTAAATCCAGGTGACAGGTAGTTCAGTATGTTGTAAAAATGTTCTTGTACCAACCCGTGTGTCCACTCCTCCCTACAGATCATCGCTCCCCCTGAGAGGAAATACTCTGTCTGGATCGGTGGCTCCATCCTGGCCTCCCTGTCCACCTTCCAGCAGATGTGGATCAGCAAGCAGGAGTACGATGAGGCTGGCCCCTCCATCGTCCACAGGAAGTGCTTCTAAATCTCCAACCATCACCAAAAACTCCACACCATCTGCACCAACTCTACTTCCATACCTGTATTTCTACTGTGCCTATTGCTGTATATACATGTGCCGTTGTAATAAAAATAGTTGCTTTTAACAGTAACAGTCTGGAGTGTTGGAATCTGTACTTACAGGTAGCCAGCATTTCCATGAACATATCATAAAATGTCAGTGTGTCTGTTGATTCAGAATATATAATTTGGCTATGGCTGCACTGTTTCATCATTTTCCACTCACCAACAGTGCATATGAAAGAAACTGTTGTTATATTCTCTTGCAAAGCCCGATTTCCTTTATTCAATAGGTTGTCCAAAGTAGAATATTGTGAGGTCAGGTGCTGAAATTAAATCATACACAACATTTATGATAATAACACCACCCTTTCTGTGACACCTCTCACACGTTAAGTTGTTAATATCACAAGTGCTGCAGGAGTTTTGACCCTGTAAGAAAGCTTTTCTCTTCTCTGTGAAACCTGAAGAAAAACAGCCACTCAAATCAAATCATGCAGTAAATTGTGTAAATTGGAAACCTCAAGATGCCATGATTCAAATTTTTTCAATATGAAACCATGTGAGATAAAAAAAAATCTTTTAACTTTTCACCTAACAAAGGTAAAAAAATCTACTGCAAATAAAAGACCTGCATTCAAAACCTTACTTAAGTGAAAGTATATAAGTATTACCAGCAAAATGTACATTAAGTATCAAAAGTATTAGTTTAACAACTTCATATACAGTTTGTTTAATACGTCAATGCTTTATAGTCTATAAGACCATCATATGTTTGTAGTGTTTGAGAACGTTGTATCTCTAAAAAGTCAACAGCTAATCCAATGGGTTTAAACAGTTCATATAATGTAAGAAGTAGGAGAATTTAACTTTATCAGAAATATTCAAATTCAAAATCACCAAATTTGGAGATTTGAGCGTTTTACTGGACAATACATGTGGGAAAATTATAATCTGAAAAGTAACTAAAGCTGTCTGACAAATGTAGTGCATTAAAAAGTACATTATTCGCCCATAGTAGAGTAGAAGTATAAAGTTGCATTAAATGGAAATACTCAAGTAAAGTACAAGTACTAGTAGTAAATGTACTTAGTTATTTTCCGGGACTGTCCATCACCACCTAAAAGCTGAAGTCACAGTTATTTTCAAGTTGAAAGCTCATATCAACCACCTTCCTATGTGACCTGAACACATCACTTTCCCTTCACTTCCTTGTCACCTGTGCCACAGGTGATGTGAATGAGTGTAATAAAGCCAACCTCCCTCATTCACCAGTGATTTTACCAACTGAGTAACAGAGATTATTGTGTCATAGGCTGTTGGATTGCTTTTTTTTTTTTTTACATCTCTCAGTGATATTTTAACCATGAAGTTTACAGACAGAAATGTGATTCGGTTTCACCTTCAAGTTCTTTATGGGATAACTGTGAAGTGCTTTGACAAGAAGAAGGAGAGACTGTTCATCGGCGGTGCAAAGATCTTTGGTGTTCCTCTGGAGAATTTACCCAGGAGATACATTCCTGAGTTTGGACTGGTGCCCTGGTGAGTGGGCGTTGGAGGCCTAGGAAGTTTATGATATTACCCAGGACAACAGCTCAGAGATTAATCTTGTTCTTTTGTTGTGTCTTAGCTTTTTGGTAGATGCTTGTTCATTTCTTCTGGAGCGGGCTGCGACTGTAGGCCTGTTCAGAAAACCAGGCTCTCTTCCTCGCATTAAGACCCTCAGGGTAAGAGTTTAACCTTTTCTAGAGATTATTACTATGCTTTAAACTGGCACAATTATGCCATCTAGTGGTTTGAGCAAACACTGCTTCTGTTTATGTCAGCTTTGTCTCTCTTAGATATGTGTGAAAAGTCTGATCTACATGCAACCTGTAGTATTAGTGATGTGATATATATAAATAATATTTCACTTTCTGTGTCTGTTTCAGGCCAAACTCAATAGTGGAGAGGGGTGTCTGTCCTCAGCCCTCCCCTATGATGTGGCAACTCTGATCAAACAGTTCTGCAGGGAGCTGCCAGAGCCTTTGTTTCCCACTGAGCTCCATGCAGCTCTGCTCAAAGCCCAGGCGCTGCCCACCCTGCAGGACAAGACTTCAGCCCTTCAGCTGCTGTCCTGTTTGCTACCTGCCAGAAACTCCTCCTGTCTGCATTATCTGTTTGACTTCCTCTCCAAAGTCTCCCAAAGGTTTGAGAGAATATTAATAACGTGGGGAAATTAAACCCCGGTGCTCCGAGCACTGCACTAAAAGACTACCAGTATGATATTATATATATATATATACTAAGCTAAACTTGATTAGGATTTTATAGTAAGATGAAAAATGATCTTACTATCACACTATTATTGGTGCCTTGCTTAACTCTTAAGTCTGGTGTTTCCAGAGTGAGGTCCTTACTCACAAAGTGACAAACTATTTAAATATTTTGTTAAATCAGCAAAAGCAAGTTGTTGCTTTACTTGCTGATGTTTGCCATTTTTCTCCCATCAAGTATATTTTATGTATGTAACTCAAAATCACAACTTTGCAAAACGTGCAGCAAATTTTAGAAAGTGATGACTTTGTTTGTCTGACAGGTTGTATAGACAGGACAGATGGCTTGTGTGAGAAACAGCATTAGGCAGCAATTCATTTTTATTCATTCATATTCCTGACACCTGGGTCAGCATATTAAATGGGCTACAATGATCGCAAAGACTACTGTACCTATAATTACTTTGGATAACTTACAATAATATGGTATGTCTACTCCAATGTTTGTCCAGTAACCACTCATCCAGATTATGGCCTTTATAATTATATATTAGTTGTTTTTAGAAGCCTGATTCCAGGTTGGGAACCACTAGTCTACACTGAGGTTATAGCAAATTGTATTCTACTTATAATATATATTTACATATAATTAATAATTTTTTCCCTTTTATAATATGAGTTTGGATATTGTTCTTCAGACATGATTCCACACACTTTCCAGTGACAGGAGTACATATTAATGGTTTAAATTTCATGCGTTTTTCCTTATGTGCTGCTGTCAGATGCACTGAAAACTTGATGACCAGCTCCAACATTGCTACAGTCTTTGCTCCGTGTCTTTTACCACCTCCCAACAAGGCAGAGATGTCTGAAGGGCGACTTGAACTCAGATTTCTTGTCCTACGCACCTTCATTGAAAATCCTCACTTATTCGGTAATAAACCAATCCTCTTGTCTTGATTTTTATCATTTTAATTAAGGGTTATTTAAACAAAGATCTTCACTATATTTGCTAGGAGTGATTCCTAAAGGTTTCATGGACAGTATGGAGTATCTGATGAATTTCCATCTTCTAAAAGACACAAAGAGAGGACATAAAAAAAGACACAGTTTCAAAGGTAAAAACAAGGAAAAATGTGTCCTAAAAAATGGAGTTGTGTCCTTTGCTTTTCCTCAACTGAACGCCTCCTGTGTGCACTTTATATTCATTTTCTCCAATACTGTCAGTTATGCCGTCTGTGAAGACGGTGCCTTGGATTCAAGGGAAGTCAAAGGTCAGAGCTACAGTCCCTGAGCAGGAGCAAGGGTCCGCTTCTGGAGACAGAAAAACCCTCAGGAGAAGCTTCGGCCTGGAGACTTTCCCCAGTGTGATGCTGTTTAGGACCTGCATGCAATCAGAAGGTCAACGCAATATGAACAAAGACACACGTTTTGATGGATGTGAAGTTGTGCAGAATGTAATGATGTTAAACTTGTTTACAGACGAGGGTTTCAGTCCTGAAATGGCTTTGTTGGACAGTCCCTCCAAAGAGGCGTGTAAGACCCCGCAAGAGAAACTAAAAAGGTAAATTATAAAAGCATAGTAATTAATTTCACAGGATTCCTTTTATAATGTAGAGCCAATTAAGTAATTGGATAGCAGGGAAATAGGACATTTAAGAGTGTGTGATTTGTACAAAATGTGAAATCTGGCCTTGTTTCCTGTGAGAACTAAATGAAGTGACTGCATCATATAATAACAATAATATACTTTAGTTGATCTAATGTTTCCTATCTTGCTTGTGTCCCTTTTTTTTTTTTTTTTTTCCTACCAGAGATCTGCATTTGGTTAATTTCTCGAGGTTCACCAGAGGACCAGATACAGGCAGCTCTCCTGTGCTCACCAGTGTCGGGAAACTGCAGCTCACTCCTTGGAGAAGACGCACTTCAGTATAATGTATTAAATATTAAGAAGTTGTCATGTGAGTTGCTCAAAGTTACTGCAGCATTTTAGGGTATGATGTAATTTAATGTTTTAAATCAGATCACTTCAGTTTTCAATTTTTACATTTTAATGAATTTATGTATTTGACTATTTATTTCACAGCAAGACTGTTGTATGGATTAAGTGTCACCATATGTTTACATAAAGTGAATAAATTGTTTGTTTTTATAAGTGTATATTTTACTTACATGTTATACTATAGGTGTTAATAAGCTCAGACATTTTGCCATATCTATCATCTGTTTATTTTTGATTAAAATCTTGCGGAGGATTAAGAACAAATACCAAGTTTACCGTGACAGAGAAAAACAAAAAGGGTAATAAAGAATTACAATGATACAAATTAAATATTTATCAGCATATTAACTGATCACTACCAGAGATCAGGTGACCCCAGACTTCTAAGCATTATAGTATGGATGAAAGGAAAACTATAGAAAAGGACAAAGGTTAGTTTTTACTCTTACTTGCCTCCATTGGGTATTTCAACATTATGTATTCAACACAATGAAAGCAGTTGAATAATTTATCACACTAACCACCTATTGGTGAGCTTTCTTTTCAGGAAGTGTTTAACAAAAAGGACTGTTTTAATGGTTAACATGATCTCAGAGACTTTTCTGAGTCCTGTGGTTCTTCTCAGTGCAGCGCTGTTGTGGACCAGGCACAAATAATTGGCACAATGTGACAGCCAATGAGAATCGAGGGTTTTTTGGTATCTTAGCAACTGCATCTGAACCGTGAAGTGAGGCGGATGGCGTCCTCCTGCAAGGTTGCATAATGGACAGCTGTAATGACAATGGAAATTAGGGTTTTTTCTTCAAAATAAAGTAGGAGGAAAAGCTAAACGTTTAGTACAAGTAACAAGAAAACAATAAAATGTAAATTCATGCTAAATGAACTTTAACCAGAATGAATTTCGGCGAAATCTGGCAAGAAAATGATTCTAAAACACTTTTTTTTTCGTCGTGTTTGAGAGGCAAGCTTTTATTTTGGAAACCGGAAATACACGTTTTTATTCTGGCCAGTTTGAGGTCTCGCGCAGTAGGCAGGTCCCACCATCAGTGCGCGGACACGGTAAGGAAAATATTACTAAATAGCCTTTTTGGACCATTTGTGATGTTTTTTAGGTATAAAACCATACATTTAATTAAATAAACGTAATTAAATACAATTCTTATTATAAATGATTGTTTTATTTCTGTTTCATAGACATCATATAGGCTATTTATAGACTATTTACATCGGCCCTCTGTTTACAGAGTGAGTTGCGCACCAAGGCTTTATTACATTTACAGACAATGTATTTTATTGTTTCTATAAACCAAAATAACATAACATTAAACATTTTTTTTAAATCATTCTTTCCAGATATTGGCCCTTTTAAAAAAAAAATTAGCCTGTCATGTGTCCAGGAACAAGCAGCTGTGTTTGAACATGATTACACTCGCCTGTCCATCTTTGTGTGTTTTTCTCCGCAGATGACAGAAATGAGCTCGGCGGTGCGGTTACTGTTGCTCGGCCTTCTCCTGTGCCTGCAGCTCGGCAGGGCTCCAGCCCGCAGCCCCCGCACGGCGGACCAGGTATCTGAGGCCGACATCCAGCGGCTCCTGCACGGCGTCATGGAGCAGCTGGGCATCGCTCGGCCCAGGGTGGAGTACCCCGCACATCAGGCCACCAACATCGTCGGGCCTCAGAGCATACAGGGTATGTTGTTAGTATTTCTAAATGGAGTCTTAAACACACAAATCACAAGAGACGAACCAAGAAAAAAGGTTCCTTATCTTAAATTTTAGTCGTTACAGGGGGATGTGGACATATCTGTTCCACTGTATATCATCTGTAATTCTTACTTACTTTTTCACTTTTAATAAACAACAAAAAAGAAACATGACAAAGAAAAACATCTAGTCCTCAAATCTGACAAGCTGAAACCAGATAATTGTTGGTATTTTAGTTTGAAAAAATATTTAACAGTTAATTGATTATCAAAATAGCTGCAGATTAATTCATAATAATAATTCATTTATTTTGGACCTTCTAAATGCTGAATGTGACTAATATCACTGATCATTTCTCAGGAGTTATATACAAACAGAAATACTGTAGTCTCTGAAACAACTATTAAAAACGTGTTGTAACATGGAAATATTGTCATCAGTGGTTCTCAGCCTTTTTGGTGTCAAGGACGCCCAGTATTTGATAAGATGTAGTCTCAGGTAGTGTGAAACCTATGAACAGAATAGTCTTCCTTATCCATTCTCTCACTGGGCTAACTTCTAGTCACTTAAATAATAGTGAAATTAAAATATTCACCGTTTTTTCTGGGGAACCTCAGGGCTCATTGAGGGTGTTTCTGGTGGAGAACCACCGTCATATATGACATTATCTAAATTACAAATGCTTCATTGATACCTATACTAGTATTTTGAAGCTTTTTTTTTCAGCTGGTGTTGTTTTTGTGGTGATTGTAGTGTTTGTTTTCCTCCACAAGGTGGTGCTCACGAGGGGCTGCAGCACCTCGGCCCCTTTGGGAACATCCCCAACATTGTGGCCGAGCTGACAGGAGACAACGTTCCCAAAGACTTCAGTGAAGATCACGGATACCCAGACCCTCCAAACCCCTGTCCCCTGGGAAAGACCGGTAGAGACTCTTGTTCTAAGCACATTATTTATTAATAAACTGATCTCTCTGTATGTTGCCGTTATTAAAGCTGCCACAGAGCCAGTTCTTTCTGTTCTTTACTGTAATTTATTTTCTCTGTGCTGTTTATGAATCTGCAGTAAATTAACTTTACTTATATTTACTTTTTGATTAATTGCTGGTGTTTTGAACAGTTACGGTGATGCATTCTCTTCTCCTTCTTTTTCTTTTTTCTCTTCACCTCCTTCTGTGTCTGGACCTCATCACATTCACAGCAGCAGATGGGTGTTTGGAAAACGCTCCGGACACAGCCGAGTTCAGCAGAGAGTTTCAAAAACACCAGCACCTATTTGACCCAGAGCACGATTACCCAGCTCTGGCGAAGTGGGTGAGTACACAATGTGACTGGAACTCATTTTATTCTTATCATGGATCAATCAAATGCTCAAAAGTTTTCCTTGCTCTTTACTTACTGCTTACTTCCCAGAGCTTCAAAAAGCTTATTTTGTCCAAACAACACTAAGAAAAACAAATATATTACGATGAAATATAATCAGAATATTAATACCGTGCAGAAATACCTCATTATCTCCACATAGATGTCATCAGAAAGTGGAAGTGCAAGTAGAGGTTTATTTTGAAAAGAAATGAGACACAAGTAAGTGCTAGCATGGGGTGTTGAGATTTGGCAGTATGATAAGACTTCAGTGTCAAAAGATAAATTCTCTCTCGTATTTTCTTCTCTGAATGTCGGGAACAAGCAGCCCCGGCAGCTTTGTTTTCTCCTCTTGGCAACAGCGTAAAAACAAAATGAAGACAAGATTTTTACTAAATCAGACATAACGTATCTTGGTTTGTCTGGCCTAAAGAAGTCACCCCTTTGAGTGTTTTTATTTGCTGAAAAAAGGCATTCAGGCCATTTGTTGACTGTAATTTAGGAACAAAGGAGACATGATTTAATGTCTGAAAACTGTTTTTTTCTGCATTTCCTTTCAGAACAAGGAGCTTTTGTACCAGAAACTGAAGGGAGGACCAAAAAGAAGAAAAAGGGTATCGTGTTTGTCTTTCCTCCCTAACCACATCACCAGCCCTGAATTGTACCCCTGAAGGGATCGACGTACTCTTAAACTCACTGTTTTTGTGATATTTTCTGAACAAGAATCTCACTTTTTTCAAAACTTGACTCATAATTTTTATTCTGACTTAGCTTTGTATGGTCAGATGTCTTTATGTTTGCAGTATGTGTTGTAATATTTTTGTCCCCCTCCCTGCAGAGTGTCAACCCGTATTTGATGGGCCAGAGGTTGGACAACGTGGTCGCCAAGAAATCTGTTCCTCACTTCTCCGAGGAAGAGGAGGAAGAGGCACCGACTGTCTCTGCTGCCAGCAAATCCACGACCTAAACTCCAGCACCTGCAACACTCCCTGTAATATTGAAGTACACTCTCAGATAAAAGCTTTTAACACTACATATTTAAGCATTTTGGTTAACAAACAATGGAACACAGTGGAAGTACGGTAAAATAAGAAATAGTAAGAACAACATATCTTACATCTTGTGCTCTTATTTCTAACTTATGGGACTTTTACAGTGCAACTGCCTTTAATAAAGCATCACAATCCGAGAGGTCCATGGAGACAATATTAGGGCTTTGTTGAAACACAGACACTCGTCTTTTACCTTTAAATACATTTTTGAAGTCAAAGCTTAATAAACAGCAAGCAGCTTGGAATTTATGTTGATTTCAGAAATGAATAATAAAGCTAGCTCATAGAGGGAAAACATACCCCCCAAAAACACTGCAAATTATCTTCGACCACTAATGCTTACACCTTTTAAGTAAAAGCGTTAGATATGCAGAAATTGGAAAGATCAAAAAAGTTCCGGCAGACCTACTGTGCAGTACAGTGCTAACTTCAAAAGTGAGCCAGATATCTGATAAAGTGGTATCTGATATATGAATATTCAAGATCAAAGCCAAGTTAGTCTTGTACACAGTACAACAACAGAGTTCACATACACAGACTAGTTTTGAGGCATGTAGAACAGTCACATTAACTGAGTTTCAACCATTTAACCCAAAATGCTGAAATACAATGTGTTAAAATCTTGACTGGCAGTGAGCAGTTTATCTACAACTGTATTATAATAAGAGGTTGTACAAAGATATATTGATTTGGAGAATCATAAAGTTATTATTACTCCTGACTGTACAGAGATCAGTTTACTCTGAAGTTTCTGAAGTTTAATTTTTGTATGTCTTGATATAACCAGTTAATCACCTTTGTGTCATTAAGATTCAATATAGATCATATTCTTAGAAGTTAATTACAAATTGTTGTAGCTTTGCTTTGTCATGTGGGATGGCTGTCACTGTAGCATGATTAATATCTATTCACGTCACCATACTGCAGTTATGAGTCTTTATGGGCAGCGCTGAATCCGTCCCGAGTCGCTTCATCTTGACAAAAATCATTGTGTTATATATTTTTTTGTCTGTAAAGTTAAATAAACGATTTGTGTGCATTGAAATAGACGAGTTGGATTTTTTTTCCCCGCGTTCAGACAGATAAAGTGAGCTTCGGGAGTATTTTTTTTTTGGGGGGGGGGG